GAAGATCTGCAAGAGGAGACGGAACCCTCTGTTCCCACCGGCCCGCCATCTCCCCACGGCAGGCCCCGAGCTCGCCGCCCCGGACCCGGACGGAACCTGGCCGCGGCCCGCCGGCCACGGAGGCAGGTCCGGTGCTGGGACGGGGATTCTGCAGAATTCCGGCCCAGACCGGACCGGGAGCTACAAGCCAGAGGGAGCGTGCGTCCACGCCGGCTCCCTTCCGGTCCCCGGACGGCGGTTCTTTCCGAGCTGGTGTCAGTGTGACCATCTTCCTTTTTCCGTGCAAAACGCGCTCTCCAGTCCAACCCAGACAGACATTCACCCGCACAGACCTGCCAGGCCTGCGGGGTCTCCAACACCATCAGAAGGCGTGTTCGTGGTGACGGTGTCCTGAGCAGGCACAAGCTTTCTGTCCCTTTTCCTAATGAACCCAAAGCTGACCCTCCTCCCACGGCCAGACAGACTCCTGAAGCAGAGCCACGTATGTCCCTGTGGCTTCGGTCCGCCATCTGGAACCCCCTTCGATGACTGACTTCTTAGGGTTCCTCACGAACCCGCCCGGGGCTCACAGTGGTGCCACCTGCCCGTCTCGGTGGGTCCGCGCGGCGGGCTGAGCCTCAGGGAACACGCTGGGCCCGTCGTGGTCCTGATGCTGCCGGAGGGCCCCAGGCCGCCGGCCCCTCTTCTGTGCGTCTGTCCTGGTTCTGGTTTGTGTTTATCCTCACGGAGGCCATTCGTTAGGGCCTGGCGAACACCCACCCGCCACGAACCCAAGTCTCAACAGAGGGAAAGATGTTCACTCGGTGCTTCTAGAACTCTCTGAATAAATTATAAACATTTACCGTTCTCAGCTCACCTGCCTGCCACTCAGAGGCACTGGAAAGGCACTTCCCAGTGAAGAAGTCAGCACGTTACCGCTGCTGGAGGACAGGGGCAGGGCAACGATGACAGAAACCAGTGACTCTCATTTTGAAAATCAGTATTTGTGTTTGCTTGGCATTTTTTTTAAATATATATTTTATTGATTTTTTTACAGGGAGGAAGGGGGAGGGAGAGAGAGTTAGAAACATCGATGAGAAAGAAACATCAATCAGCTGCCTCCTACACAGCCCCCCACTGGGGATGTGCCTAGAACCAGGGTCCATGCCCTTGACCGGAATCGAACCTGGGACCCTTCGGTCCGCAGGCCGAAGCTCTATCCACAGCCACACCAGTTCTGGCTGTGTTTGCTTGTTTAATGGGCACAGCTAAGCAAACCAGCTGGTGAAACTCCCCCCCCCCGCCCCCCCACGGCGGCGGGCCTGTGGGTAGACCAGTTAGCTCGGATCTCTGTGGTGCAGGAACCTCCCTGTTCTAACGGGTGACCTGCTCCTGGGTCCTTCCTAACCTCCTGCTCCAGGACCGGGCTGCACAGTCCCGGACAGGGACACGCACATCTGTGTGACCCGGCCTGCGGTCAGTGCTGCACGCAGGCCTTCCAGGAAGATGAGCTTTGCCCGGGTTTGTGGAGTCATTATGGCCGAACCACCACAACGCAGCCTCGCCAAAACACTGAACCTGCGTCTCCCAAAACGCAGGTCAGACTCTGTTTATAGACACGTGGGGCCCCCTGAGTGAGCAGATAAACAACAGCATTTGGAAGCAATTAGACATCCAGAATGGGAGACAGCGGGTTGGAGGGCTGACCTGGTCTCCTTACTAATTCATAATGGCCACGTCCGCGGGAGAACCTCGCTCTGTTTAGATTAACATGCACACACAGTAACTGCAGAGCAACACGGAGGGTGGCATTGGGGGTCTGAGCATGAGCTGGGTTTCAGAGCACAATGGTACCATGGCATGCTGTCTGCAGCCAGCTTTAAACAGAGCTAGCCAGAATGTCAGAGCAATTCCAGTTTAACCTAAACAGAGCTCACAGGGATTCACAGTCGTGGTCTACTTGTATAATTGAACGTTTTCCTAATTACAATAAATCACATGGAAAAAACTCTACAATGTTCTTCAGGGACGTGCTTTAATTCCATTACTTAGAATTTATCTGTACCCCTACATTTCATACTTGTCCTAGTTTTAATTTTTTTTGTGTGTGCTAATCCTCACCCGAGGGTATTTTTCCATTGATTTTTTTTTTTTTTTTTTTTAAGAGAGAATGGAAGGGAGAGACAAAGAGAAACATAGATGTGAGAGAGAGCCATCGATTGGTTGCTTCCTGCATGCACCTGGACCAGGGTCAAGGAACCTGCAACCAAGGTCCATGCCCTTGGGAAGAATCGAACCCAGGACCCTTCAGTCCACAGGCTGACACCCTATCCACTGAGCCAAACTGGGAAGGACCACACTCATTCTATTTCACTCTGCTTCTTCCCATGCGGACAGATGCAGAGCAAAGCGTCATTGTAACTAGCGGTCCTTGAAACAAGTGGCCCCTGAGACCCTTTCAAGAAATCGATAAGATCAAAACCCTTTTCATATGGAAGGGGAGTGGACTGATGATTCTCGGGGAAAAGGGGAGTGGGGGGTGTGGGAAGAGACTGAACAAAAAATGCACCTATAGATGAGGACAATGGGGGGTGGGGAAAGAGCAGAGGGTGGGGTGGGAACCTGGTGGAGGGGAGCAATTGAGGGGGGGTGGGAAAGAGGAACATTTGTAATAATGTGAATAAAGATTTATTTAAAAAAAAACTCTTTTCATAGCAAAAGTAAAATGTTATTTGCTTTTTCACTGTGTTATTTGCATGATGGTTCAAAAGTGGTAGGAAATTGCTGTTTGACAAAGTGTTAAAATAGATTTCCCACATTGTGAAGCGCATTCAAATAGTTATCACAATTGGCAATTTTCTTAAACATAAGAAAAACACCTTTTGTATAATTTGTAAGTAAAATAAAATGAATTATTTTTTTAATGGAGAGAAAAATCACTGGTGTATGAACATCAGTGAAAGCAGTAGCAACAAACATGCCAGAAGGTACTGCCATTTCCATGCACAGTAAAAAAACTAGCCAATCGATTTGCTCAGAGATGCCGTCGATGGCTTTATTGGAACACTAGCTCCGAGTACGGCCTTTGATATGGTGTGTGATGAAATCAGAAACACATTTGGGAGGGCTGCCTCCAGGGAAGTGCCAGCTGTGAGTTGTTTGCTAAACTAGCCAGTTTTTTTTTCCCCTCAGAGAAACAATTTTCACTTGGAAGAAAAATTGGCAGATAAACTATGGTTACTTAGACTGGGATATTTGGCAAACCCTTTCTCAAAAGTGAATGAAGTGAACTTACCCCTTAAAGGAAGGATACCACTAGAATATTTTATCCGAAGACACTCTGAGCTTTCAAGTGAAAATGTGAATTTTGGAAAACTTGTCTAATGCTATATAAGGCTTATTAGTTTCCCAATTCCTAAAAGATGTTTTTAATTTGATTGGCATTGCTATTGATAAATGTAATTTGGGGGGATATTACATAATGTAGCATGTTAACATTTGGAAAACTGGCATAATTCTGTGAACCAATATAGAAATGGTCAACATATGGTGTTATAAACTCATGCATGCGTAAAAGATTCAAAGTACAAGATAAATAAATGGATTTTAATGCAACAGAAAAGTTCATTGATAGGGTTTCTAACCTCGCATTGCAACTAACCTTTAAGAAAATGTCATATGACCAATCACAATTATTTGAAAATGCTATTAGAAATATATTTTCCTTTTCCAACTACTTATCTGTACAAGGCTAGATTTTCTTTATGTACTTCAATCAAAATGACATATTATTAAAGGGAATCCTTGTGCAGTGTTGGAGGGAATGTAAATTGGTGTATCACTATGGAAAAGTGTGGAGGTTCTTCGAAAAATTAAAAATAGCCGAAACCGTTTTGGCTCAGTGGTAGAGCGTCGGCCTGCGGACTGAAAGGTCCCAGGTTGGATTCCGGTCAAGGGCATGTACATTGGCTGTGAGCACATCCCCGGTAGGGAGTGTGCAAGAGGCAGCTGGTAAATGTTTCTCTCTCAGTGATGTTTCTAGCTCTCTATCACTCTCTCTTCCTCTCTGTAAAAAAATCAATAAAATATATTTTTTTAAAAAGAAAAAGAAAAATTAAAAATAGATCAAGCAATCCCACTCCTGGATATTTATCCGAAGGAAATGAAAACACTAATTCGAAAAGATATATTCAGCCCCATATTCATTGCATCATTATTTACAACAGTCTAGACATGGAAATAAGTGTCCATCAATGGATGAATTAAAGAAAATGTGGCATATATATAATTATTCATCCATAAAAAAGGATATCTTGCCATCGTGACAACATAGGTGGATCTATAAAACAGTTTACTGTGTTACGCATCTAGCTTTATTCAATTTTCATTTCTGATATCCTAGTAACCTTGACGAGCAATGGAAAAAGAATGTGATCTTTGTGCTTAAAGATAACCTTTTTGTTTAAAGAATCCTTTATTGGCCTTCTCTGTTCCTTACTTACATCTCTTATTTTCTTGCCACTGTATTCATTACCATATCTTTAATTATTACCAAACCGCCAATGTTCTTGGCCCACAGGCTGGGTTCCAGACCATTTCCAATGGTCTGCTATGAATTTTCGGCTGGGTAGCTCACTGGCATCTTGCATTCAATATAACTAAGAATGAATTCATCTTCCCATGCATGGATTTATAAACAGAAAACCAAATCACACCAGAAAATGAATGCTTAATCAAATAAGGTATGTTAAGAATTTTGTGTTTTGTTTTACACAATAATGTAAACTAGAGAAGTATCATTTTTTTTTGGTTTTTACAAATGTCAATTTTGAGTAATATTTCTTTCCATCATTTCATCACTTTCCTTGTTCCACGTGGACCATCCTAGTCATGGTGAAAAATGCCTGCAGGAATGGAAAATCTGACACTATCTATACTAGAAAAAGGGTAATATGCTAATTAGATCGGACATCTGATGTCCTTCTGGTGGTGGGGGCCAAGGCAGAGGCAGTTAGGAGTGATCAGGCTGGTAGGGGAAGGCAGTTTGGGACAATTAGGCCAGCAGGGGAGGTCAGTTAGGGACAATCAGGCTGGCAGACAAAGGTGGTTAAGGGCGATCCTGCCGGTGAGCGGGGGTGCCAGAACAAGGCAGGGCACCGGCACTGCCATCGGGGTGAGCCTGTGGCGGTCACTGAAAATTCTTTGCTTCCACATGCCCAGGTCCCGTCTGGTACTAGTGCCTGTTGCCAGTGCTGACCTCACTTGCACCTGCTGCCAGTGTCTGGCGCCCCTAAGAGCTTCTCCAACTCCCCCTGCTCCTGAGGGACAACCGGAGCAGTAGCCAGCCCTCACACCCACCGACAGCACCAGCCCCACTTGCACCTGCTGCTGGCTTGGGCCCCAATTGCTCCATCAGGGATTAGTGGCGGAGCAGGGCTGCTGGCAGACAGGGGAGGGGAGAAGTAGAGGCTGCGGTGGGAGGAGCCGGGCCAGGGCACGGAGGATGGGCTGAGGCTGGCCTCCTGGCCAACAGTTCCTTTCAAGGTGCATAAATTCGTGCACTAGGCCTCTAGTTATAAACAACATTGTATAGAACATAAGGGTGTATGTATCTTTTCAAATTAGTGTTTTGGATTTCTTCAGATAAATACCAACAAGTGGAATTGCTGAGTCATACAATTTTGAGGAACCCCCATCCTGGCTACACCACTTAATCCCAACAGTGCACAAGGGTGAGGTGTCTTTTCCCCACAGCTTCACCAATACTTGTTTTCTGATTTATGATAGCCATTCTGACAGGTGTGAGATGATTTCTCATTGTGGTTTTTACATTTCCCTGGTGATTAGCCATGTTGAACATCCCTTTGTGCCAACTGTCCATCTGCATGTACTCTGTGGAGAAATGTCCATTCAGGACCTGCACCCACTTTTATTCAGATTTTTTTTTTGTGTGTGTGTTATGTTGTATGAATTCCTTGTATATAACAGAAATTTACCCCTATCAAATGTATCACTGGAAAACTCTCTTCCACCATTCAGAAGGCTTTGTTTTGTTGGTTTCCTTTGCTGTGCAAAAACTGTCTTGTTTTACTTAGTCCCATTTATTTTTCTTTTGTTTCCCTTGCCCAAGGAAACATATCCAAAACAATATTACTAGGAGCGACGTTGAAGAGTTTACTGCCTGTTTTTCTTACAGGGGGTTTATGATTTCAAGTCTTACATTTAAATCTTCCATCCATTTTGAGTTTATCTTTTATATTGCACAATGAAAATGTATAGTTACATTTTGTTTGCATGTATCTGTCCACTTTCCCAACACCATTTATTGAAGAGACTGCCTTTATCCCACTGTATATTTGTGTCTCTTTTGTTACAGAGTTTATTTCTGGATACTCTATTCTGTTTTGTTCATCTACAATGTCTGTATTTATGCCAGTACCATACTGTTTTGGTCTCTACAGCCTTTTTGATATCAATATACCTACAATATTGTTCTTTCCCAAGATGGTTTTGAAGATTTGGGTATTTGTGGTTCCATGTACATTTTAGGATTACTTGTTACATTTCTGTGAAAAATGCCATTGGCATTTTGAAAGGGATTGCATTGAATCTTTAGATTGCTTTTAGTATGGACATTTAAAAATGTTAATTCTCCCTATCCATGAGATGGTATATCTTTCCATTTATTTGTATCTTCTTCAATATCTTAGTTTTCTGAGTACATGTTTCTAGTGGTTAAATTTATTCTTAGGTATTTTATTCTTTTTGATGCAAATGTAAATGGGATTGTCTTAATTCCTCTTTTGGATAGTTTATTAGAGTATAAAATGCAACCAATTTCTGAGTATTAATTTTTCATCCTTCTACTTTACTAAATTCATTTATCAGTTCTAATAGTTTTCCTTTAGGGTTCTATGTTGTATCATATCATTGGCAAATAATGACAGTTTTACTTCCATTTCAATTCAAATATTGTTTTTCTTCTCTGATTGCTGTTCCTAAGACTTCCACAGTATGTTGAATAAGCGTGATGAAAGAGGACATCTAGTTTTGTTCCTGATTATAAAAAAATAAAAAAACAACTTTCGGTTTTTAACTGTTGAGTATGTTAGCTGTGGGTCTGACATATACAATCTTTATTATGTTGAGGTATGTTCCCCGTATTTCTACTTTAATGAGAGTTAATAACCAATTGATGGACTTTGTCAAATGCATTTTCTATATCCATTGATATTTTTATTCTTCATTAGTTATGTGTAGCACATTAATTGACTTGCAGATAGTATACCAACCCTCCATAACAGGAAAAAAATCCCACTTGATCATGGTGTATTATCTTTTTAATGTCTTGCTGGATCTGGTTTGCTAATATGTTGCCGAAGATTGGTGTATTCATGTTCATCAAGGATGTTGTCCCATAATTTTCTTTCTTGTAGTGTCTTTGTCTGGTTTAGGTATGAGGGTAATGCTGGCCTCATATAATGAGTGTTGGAGCCTTCCCTTCTCTTCGCTGTTCTGACATTTTTAAAGGTTAGTAAGAATTAATCTTCAAATGTTGGCAAAATTCACCTGGGAAGCCATCCATCTGGTTCAGGGCTTTTATTTGTTGGAAGTGTCTGAATCCTGTTTCAATTTCATTAGTAATTATTGGTCTGTTCATACTTTGTTTCTTCCAGAGTCAGCCTTGGAAGATTGTATGTTTCCAGGAATTGATCCATTTCTTCCAGGTTGTCCAACTTGTCTGCATTTATTTTTTCATAGTATTTCCTGATAATCCTTTTTGTTTCTGTGATGTCAGTTGTCTCTTATCTTTGAGTTCCATGTGCACTTGGGAAAAATAAGTCTATTTGGTTTAACATGTCACTTTAGGCTCCTGTTTCCTTGTTAATTTTCTGCCTGGGTGATGTATCCATTGATGTCCATGAGGAGTTGAAGTCCCTCACTGTGACTCTACTACTGTTGATCTCTTCATGCCCATCAATATTTGCTTTTTACGTTTAGGTGCTCCTATGCTGGGTGCATAGATGTTACAAGAGTTGTATCTTCATGTTGGATTGACCCCTTTATTATTATGAAATGCCATTCTTGGTCTCTTGTGATAGACACTGCCTTAAAGTCTACTTTGTCCGATAGAAAGAACTATTGCTACCACAGCTTTGTTTTAGTTTACAGTTGCATGAATATCTTCTCCATACCTTCACTTTCAGTCTGTGTGCCTTTCAATCTCAAGTGACTTTCTTGTAGGCAGCATGTGTATGGGTCTTTTAATAATTTAGCCACCCTGTCTTTCTATTGAAGCATTTAGTCCATTTATATTTAAAGTAATTATTGATACGTAGTTATTTCCATTTTATAAACTATTTTCTAATTGTTTTTATAGTTTTTCTCTGTTCTTATTTTCTCTCACATTGATGACTTAGTTTCATGTTTGGATTCCTTTCTTTTTCTTTCTTATGTGTCTCTTGTAGATTGATTCAGGTTCAAAGCAGCTTAGAGAATATAAAGTTCTAGTTAAGGAGAACTCCAATAGTAACATTTGGATTTAGGTTTATGAGATTGTAATGTATTCATGAATTTCTCTACCCACGATAAAATAAAAGTTTTCTAAGACAGCACTTTAACAATGATGGCTGGTAGTTCCTAAATACCATTAACTTGATAATGGCTATAAAAAGCAAGTGCAAAACCTCAATGTTGCAGCTAATTTCAAGCACTCCTTTTTAGCAGACTTTAAGTGCTGATAATCATCTCAATCTCTTACATTAAAAAATTATAACTCGTTCCATTTGAGATTAAAAATGAACACCACAATCTGCATCTGTAGCTTACAGGGAAACTTTATTAGCAGAGCAAGAGGTGCGCCGTGCATGGACTATGAACACTGCACAGCTGCCTTCATTCTTGGCCACGCAGGACAGCCAGGCCCATCTACTTTGTGGACACTCTTGTTCTTTTGTTCCAGGAAAAGTTTGCGCCGTAAGACTTGGACTTGGGTTTCGGAACCTTCCTCTCTTCAACGTCATAGCTCCATCCTAGAAAACAAAAAACAGACTCACAGGAACAGAATTAAGCAGCATGCCTGAAGAACACAGTGAGCAGAAGCTAATGCTCATAAATTCAAGGTCATTTATCATCAGGAGTACATGTCAACACATCTGAAATATAAATACCTGCTTAGCAATTTGTTCCTGTGACAACAGGATTCAAAATATTGTCTGAGGATGACTTACCATGTCTAAATTAAAGGTGTAACCCAGAACTCAATTTCTCCCTGCTCGAGATTCTTTTCTTCCAATGCTGTGTGAGAGAACCTGTGCCCTCTGGCCCAGTCTGCCTCCCAACACACATGTTCCTGCCCCTTAAAGCGCTGCCAAAGGAACTGAAGGATGGGAGGGTGCGGACATATTTAGGGGCAGGTATTATATGCAAAACTTACCCGACAGTCCCTTTGACAGTCCCTGTATGGGGTAGACAGCTAACAGCCTGCCCAGCCCCAGGGAGAAGGACTGTTTTTACTGATGAGAAGGCGGACCCCGCTCTGTGCCTGCTCTGTTCCTGAGCCAGAGGGCCTGAGCCATGTCCCTGCTGGGAGAGGCAGACTGGTTCACAGAGCCACTGGCGCGGTGTTCTCCTAGGGCGACGGGAGCTGTGGCCGGCCTACAGCTGCTGCTGATGGTGACAACAGCACACACAAATGCCACTCCAGGCCTGGGGGTGGGGTGAGTGCCCGGACAAGCGGAGACACACGGAGACCTGCCTTCTCCGCAGGCCACTCCACAGCCTCCGTGAGGATGGGCGGGAGGGCGTTCCCTCCGTTTTCCTGGGAAAACACTGTGTGCCCAGCGCTGCCCAGGGCATGAGGGTGACCAAGAACAACTGCCATTGAGACAAACTCAGGCCATCGTCTCCTGTGGCTCCCCTGAGCTCTGGCAGGACCTGACGGAGGGAGTCCTGCCCGTGCCTGGCTGGACAAGTGTGCTGTCCCGCACGCTGCACAGCACAGCCCTTCCCAGGCTGCACCCTCAGCACCGGGGAACATCCCGGCTTCTGAGCGAGCAGTGGGCTCAGCCAACAAGACAGACAACCGTAAGAGCCGCCGCACAGACGGCATGCTTGTACTAAAAGGGATGCTACACAGACTCTACTGACCTCTCCTACTTCCCATTTGAAATTTGCTCTTAAAAAGACAGAACATCCTGGCTGGCTTGACTCAGTGGATAGAGCACCGGCCAGCGGATTGAAAGGCCTTGGGTTTGAATCCAATCAAGGGCACATACCCAGTTGCAGGCTTGATCCCCAGTAGGGGGCGTGCAAGAGGCAACCAGTCAATGATTCTCTCATCATTGATGTCTCTCCCTCTCTCTTCCTCTTACTTAAATCAATAAAAAAAAGGTTTTTTTTTGTTTTGTTTTGTTTTTTTAAAGAAAAAACAATACAGTGTGCATGAAATACAGGCAGAAATCTAAGAATGGAAATTTCTTTGTGAAATGTTTCCATTCTGTGAGAATTTCTCTTCTTCCCTAAAACAAGGGTGTTTAACAGAAATAACTGGATTTGGTTTTCTGAGGGGGCTGTGGGAGAGGGAGCATCTAGGCTCGGAAGCGGCTCCTCCAGACCTCAGCGCGGCTCCCGCCTGTGTGCTGCTCCGGGCCCCGCACACCGGCCTTGGCCCAGCTGGCAGCGGGTCATGCCACATCCTGGCCGCACCGGCGGGCGGAGCTCCGGGCGCCGCTGCCACCGCACCTGGGACAGCAGCCAGACACAGACGCACCCTCAGCCCTGGCAGCGCTCCGGATGCCCGGAGTGTAAGCCCTCCCATCAGAGCGCTCCTGGCACAGGCCCTCGGGAGCGCAAGGCGGCCTGAGCCCAAACTGCTCCCGGAGCGTGCCAAGCACTGCCGGCCCCCAGCCGAGGCGGGCATATCCTACCCCCTACGACAGCTATGTGCGGTGTATTCTTCCCAAATGCCAACAACCACCTCTGAGTAAACCAGACCACAGTGAACTTGTGAGTCCCAGGTCTGAGGCAGGAGACAGAAGAGGAAAACTAATTCCAATCATCTTCATTTAGCGCCCACGCTGTATTTGGTTCAGGACACAAACACACAGCAACATCCATCAGTGCTTCCACTACGTGTGAACTACGTCACCTCTGGCGACCCTGGCCCAGGCCCGCGGAACCCCAAACCTGACATTAGTTCAGAAGTGAGCAGTTCAATCGTTTTTCCTGCCGCCCATTTGGGTACAACGCAGGAACCACTGCCTCATCTGGCACAAGCTGGCAGACCCGGCCCCGCTGCTAACAGGCGGGGGCAGGAGAGCAGAGACTCTGGGAACCAAGCAAGCTGTGTGGGCACCAGGGAGGGTCCAAGACTGCCCGCCAGGCTGGGCGCCCACATATGCTCGGGAGAAACAGCATCAACTTGAACCGTCATTTAAGAGAGAAAGCAGAGAACACCACTTTTTTCAGGAATTTCACTTTAAAATTTCTTTGGGGTGGCAGAGGGTGAGGTCCAGAATAATTTGAACATATCGTAGATCTTCTCCTTAGAAAATACGACGGAGGAGAAATGTGTGTTTCTGTATTCACTGGCAAAACCATTTTTCCCCATGAAACGATGTGAAATGACGTACATGAGCTGGCCGCAGACTGTGCTGGGAAGAAGGTCCTGGGTAGATGGTGCCTCCCAGAACACCACGCACTGCCCACGGCACACTAGTGGCCCCGGCCCTCTTCACTTCCTGGGGCTGCTGTGCGGCTCTCTCGGTTGTAGGGATGAGGAATCCTCCTTATCTGCAGAGCGGGTATTTGTGACTTCCCCTTCTCACCAGAACTGGTGTGCAAGCCCAACACTGACCACGCTCCATGGTCCCCAGGCATGCAGACCGCAGTGATAAGTGTGTCACCCACACACGCGCCCAGCCGAGATCAAGCAAGGTCGTGCTCTGCCTGTGTTCCACCCTCACGCTGCAGACAGTGTCCTCGGCAGGGCCTTCTCCGCGCTGCCTGCGGGCACAGGGCTGTTAAACGGCCAGATGGGCCTGAGTGACATGCTGCTGGCCACGAGCTCAATGTCTATGAATCAACAAGACTCTCTTAAACAGACACACATGCAAACGATGCATTGATTGTTTGACAAAATATTGTGATCCGAGGCTCTGGGGCACGGAAGCCTGGATTTTCGCAGGAGCAGCGTTCCGGCGTTCGCTAATGGAGTGTTTATGGTGACGTACAGAATACAGACATTGTGAGTAACAGGAATTAACTGTCTGATAGACGTGCGGATTCTGTGCTGTCTGAGAAAGCAGCTGAGTTTTCATTCTTTAAGGCTACAGAAATCCGAGTGCGGACTGCTCCTTTGAACTGCCTACAGCATCTGTCTGGCCGCCTCGTTCATGAGTGAAATAAATTCTTCAGCACATGCTCATTTCTGTCTGTGCTAGAGCCGGGCTTTATCTCGGAAACATTCCTTTCACCAGGGTGGGCGGGTGAGAGGCCTCGTGGTCTCGGGCAGAGCCAGGTGGCCCTCACGGTGCGGGCCTCCTGTAGGCCCAGGCCCGGCCTCTCCAGCTCCTCAGCTGACTGTTTTCCTAACTTCAATTGTGCTCTCTGCTACTCTTGGGAATTGATTTACAGTCTGATCATTTGATGATTCTTTTCAATAGATTATGGCAGGCGTCCTCAAACTTTTTAAAGTGGGGGCCAGATCACGGTCCCTCAGAGAGCTGGAGGGCCGGACTATATGAATTACTAATTCCTACTGTAACACCTCAGCTGCGCTCACTGCCCAAAAAACCTGGCGGGCCGGATCAGACTCCTCTGCGGGCCGCATGTGGCCCGCGGGCCGTAGTTTGAAGACCCCTAGATTATGGTTTTAGAGACTCATTTTCTGTTAGGTGAGAAAACTCCCCAGAACATCTGGTTGTTCAACTTTTCTGCCTCTCTGAGCTCCAATAAGGGAAGAATTTGTATCACTGAGAGAGAGCAGTTCTGCAGCATGGCCCTGGTCTCATCCGCGCATTCACTAATGTGATCAAGAGGAAATATGGCAATAACTGCTTTAGAATAACTGAAGAGCTATTAGGTGGAAGAGGAGACAAGGATTCTGGCTCAAAGTAAGAAAGGAAATAACAAAGAGGCGTCGAACCAGCAAGGCTCAGTTAGAACGTGACGTCAGACGTCAGGGTTTTGCAGAGGGACTCGCACACAGGGCAGGTGTTGGATGGCAGCCTGTTCCCTGCCTCTGCTGCAGACAGAGCCGATGGGCTTGCCCATGTTTTGTGGGCATTCCGTGTTAGATTTTTTTTTTTTTTTGGAAGGGGGGGTCCTCCTGTAACATTCTTAAAACCAGTGGATTAGATAACATTGAAAATTTTATTTCTATTCAAATTCTATATCCCTGCCTGATTCTGATTAATGTTAAGAACATAAACTCCTATCTTCCTTTTGTTGTTGAAGTCAAACAAAAGCAGACCAAACATACCATTTTTCTCTGCGAAGGCCATTGCATCTTCTTTGGTACTGAAGGTCAGAACCATGTTGGACAAAGGATCAGCCCTGAAAGAAACAATTTTTTCCCCCCAGGATTTAACATTAGATTTTGGCTAAAAACAATTAATACTTAAAGTAAAATGTTTAGAACATAAACAATTGCTATAATATCAATAAGTACAGTCTAAAGGAGACTGTATATTCTGAAGGGGACCAAAGGTTCTGCCACCCCGGAATCCGAGCCTTTTGGGGTGCTGATTTTAAGCTGCTCCTATAAAACACAGCGCAGACGGAGCTCTGCCCTTCCTTCCTGCACAGGAGAGGCAGACGGAGGCCTGCTCCCGGAGGAAGTCTTGGATGTCTGCATCCGACTAAACCAACCGAGGATGGTGGGTGGGAGGCACAGGCAGGCCTGGGAGCTGATCACAGCGTCCCAGCTCTGGGTTACCTGGCAGGGATTTGCCTGCCGTGTCTGTTTCACTCTTCCTCAATTACCTGTAAGTCACTCATTTTGACTTTTGAATCTAAGATTCTGTCACCCCTTTTCTCATTTTCCAAAATGACATGGACACCCCAAACTGGCATTATCAGTAAGTCAAAGGTTCACCAAAAGACATATACAAGAATCTTCATCTTAGCATTATGCATAATAGCCCCACCAAAAGCTAACCAAATGTTATTAGTAAACAGTGCAATGTTTACTAATGATGAATTTTGCATAGAGATGAACACATTAAAATCTCATGTGACTTAACAAAAGATAATCATAGCATTTCAACCATTGGGTATGGACAAAGTTGTCCCTTATAAATTTCTTTAGTCTCTACAAACATGTGACTTACAACAACACTCCATATATTATTCCATGAAATATAAAATCTAAAGATACAAAATACCTAATATTGTGCCTATATTTCATTTTGCCAAGCAAAATGTAATTCTATTAAATTTCTTTTTAACAAGCATCCCCCAGGCACACCGCAGGAAGAAAAGCTGAATGTCTCGCTCATCTGGCTGCTTCTCTAGTAGCAGCAGCTTCTATTCAACGAGAGGCGGTCCTGCTGCTGAACATTTGGGCCACATTCCACAGCAGAGATTTAGGTCACTGATTTCACTGGGGCCACAGAATTTATGGCCACTTTTTTTCCAGCGCACCACACATTTATTTGTCACAAATCTCAGACACTTACAAGTTTCCTTCAAAATAGCCAGTACCCAATCTTATCTAGTCTTCCCCCCTTACAAAGAGAAATATATTTTATAAAGAAGTTTTAATTTAAAAGTGAAGTGTTACTAATTATTAACACTATATACCCAGTGCAACTTAAACTAATGTAAATGGCTTGGGAAGTGTGCTAACAGTGCTCACAACATCAGCCATTAAAAAAATATATATATTTTATTGATTTTTTTACAGAGAGGAAGGGAGAGGAATAGAGAGCTAGAAACATGGATGTGAGAGAAACACTGACCAGCTGCCTCCTGCATACCTCCCTACCAGGGATGTGCCCGCAACCAAGGTACATGCCCTTGACCTGAATCAAACCTGGGACCTTTCAGTCCGCAGACTGAGGCTCTATCCGCTGAGCCAAACCTGTTTTGGCATCAACAGCCATTTTTATCTAATAAAGAGTACTCTGAAAACAACTGTCTATGGTTTATTTTAATATATGAATATTAAACAGGTATCCTATATACTAGAGGTAATATGCAATTGACCACCACACCCTCACAAGATGGCTGCCTACACCCAGGCTGGCAGGGGGGTTAGTGAGGAATAACCAAACGACCGAACAGCAGGCTGTGTGGAACAACCAGGCCAGTTGGGGGAGTGGTGGTGGTGGTGGGGGAGAGCTGTGACGGGCAACCAGGCCAGCAGAAGGGGCAGCTGGAGGTGACCAGGCCAGCAGCAGGGGGGCAGTTAGGCGTGATCAGGTCGGCACGCAGAGGTAGTGAGAGGCGATCAGGCCGGGTGGGGGGAGGGCAGTTAGGGGCAACCAGGCAGGCAGGCAGGCAGGTGAGTGATTAGGAGCCAGCAGTCCAGGATTGTGAGAGGCAGTCAGATATCCCCTGAGGGGTCCCAGATTGGGAGGGTGCAGGCTGGGCTGAGGGGCCCCCCCGCCACTGTGCACGGATTTCATGCCCCGGGCCTCTAGCATCCTGCACAGGGATGGGGGCAGGGAGGGTTCCTCAGCCTGGCCTGGGCCTTCTTGTAATCCAGGACCCCTCGGGGATGTCTGACGCCGGGTTAGGCCTGACCCCGCAGGCCGCCAGGGGAGCCCAAGCCGGGCCAGCTGCCACACCGCTCGTGGTCCTCCTGCCGCCGCTGCCTGCTGCCCTGGAGGTGAGGCAGGACGGCTCCCGTCGCTGCAGCTGTGCTTGCGAGCCATGAGCCCGGCTTCCGGCTGAGCAGCGCTCCCCCTGGGAGTGCACTGATCACCGGGGGGGCTCCTGCCTTGAGCGTCTACCTCCTGGTGGTCAGTGGGCATCACAGCAACCAGCCGACAGCCGTAATGGTCACTTAGTCTTCTCTCTATACAATAGGTATGCCTACATGGCAGAACACCGTGACACCTACACAGCACTGCACAAAGCGCTGTGCACGAAGGGGTGTGAACATCAGGACGTTTAAGAGGAAATCCGCCTGGAAAAGAGCTGGGAAAGCTGCTCCAGGAAAGCCCAAGCACTCACGTGGATGCCCAGCCCATCAAAGGGTTCTCCCAGCGCTCCCTGGTGTCGAACTCCAGCCTCCACTTCTTGGTGTTGTTCACCCCGGACTGCATGTTGTTGCGCGCGGCGACGAAGATCCGGACTTTCCGGGTCTTGATGTGCTCCTCAGGGACGCCGGTTAAGGTGGTGATGTCCTACAGAACACACGCACACACTGCTGAGCGAGAGCTTTCGTGGGACCGCTCTATCAATGCCATGGACCAACGATGAGTATAAACACTCAGTGCTGCCATATGTATTGGGAAAACACAAGTGTATCTCTGACTCAACTAGTCCTTCTATCCACAGATTAAAAACACAATTCTTTAAAGTTATTTTAGCTGGCAACCAATCCTCTGCTTAACACGGTACCTTTCTACCTGCACCAATAATTAAGTATGGTTACGTTGTCAAAATTTGTGCTTGGAGGAACTATAAAAATGATCCACATAAATATTTATACAAATATGTACTTGTAATACTTGCCTACATTTAAGAAAAGTATTTTTATAGAGGATAAAATTAAAATAATGTGAGTGCAATTGGCACATACTTTTAAAGATATGAATATGTTTTAATTGTATTTTTAAAATACATTTTTATTGGTTTTTAGAGAGGAAGGGAGAGGGAGAAACATCAATGTGAGAGAGAAACAGCAAACCCTACCTTGTACACACCTGTCACCAGGGATCCTGAACCCCAGGCATGTGCCCTGACCTGGCATCAAACCAGCAACCTCTGGGGCATGGGTTGACGCTCAACCAGCTGAGTGAGCCACACCAACCAGGGTTTAGCTGACTGATCATTTTAATTGTCAAGTTCACTTCAAAGAGAAGGAATTTCCAGTACAACTACATTTAGTGGCTTCCTAAAACATATTCCTCAACTCAAAAGCTTGAAAAGGACTCAGCTCCTGGCAAGTCCTTAATATTTATTTCTGCTTTTGAATTCAGTATAGTTTTGCAATCTGTCATATTCACTTATTATTCAACATTTTGTATCTTTACATTAATGTGTGCTGTTTCCGAAGTTACAGTGTAAGCGTAAGCTGGGTGCAGAGAAACAATGTTACAAAGTTGTGGGATGAGGCTTCGTTTCCAAATGCACAGCAGCCTCTGCAGTGTGAGCTCAATTCCTAAGGACTGGAACGACACTCCGGCTGTTCTCGATGAGGATCCCAGGTCAGGAAACTCAGACCCACTGCACCCCGTGCACTGGGAACCTCGGGAGGGAAGGTGACAGGAACAGGCCTTTCCTCCAAAAGCCTCAGCAAGTTTAAACAGGACTTACATAGTGATTTAAACACCAACAAAGCTTTTAAAAATGGAAACAGTTATTTCTTGATTTGTACTACCTACTAAAGTGCAAAATTTTTTAGGATAGAAAATCCCTTTAAAAAAAAACTACCGCCGAAACTGGTTTGGCTCAATGGATAGAGCGTCGGCCTGCGGACTGAAAGGTCCCAGGTTCGATTCCGGTTAAGGGCATGTACCTTGGTTGGTAGGGGGTGTGCAAGAGGCAGCTGATCGATGATTCTCTCTCATTGATGTTTCTGGCTCTCTATCTCTCTTCCTCTAAGTGAAAAATCAATAAAATATATTTTTTTTAAAAAGAAACTACCAAATGTTGCTAAGCTTTATATTTTGAACTCCTAACTACCAGCTTCCAAAAATTATGGCAATTAATTACCGATATCTTCCCCCAATTTACAGCAGAGACAGCTGGGTTTCTGAACTCCGAGGCGCAGTGCGGACACACAAGCTGCAGTAGGCTGCGCGTAGCTGACAGAGGCCCCGGCGCCCTGACCCCCGGTCCCACAGGCACATCCCCGTCTAGACAAACTGATTTCTCACACTCGTGAAATGCACTGCGACACTCCATTGTTATCACTTCACCCGCACAGCACAGCCAGCGACAGACAACCTGTCCCTGGAGAGACATGTCAATGGGAAAGCTCCCACTCCGAGACCCTGTTCAGACAAAGCGGTTCTTGAAAGGACCGAGGCACTGCGCTGGGCTCCTTACTTGTGTCGACAAAGCTGTGCTTTACCTCAAGTTCCCAATGGCCCACCCGCGACTCGACCTTTGCAATAAACAAACAAACAAACACAACTAATTAAAGCACAATCTGCAAGTGCTTTAAACTCTGCTGAATTAATCTTCTTTTCTCTTGTCTAGAGTTCTATTTCTGTGTTGCACCAGATCATATGTCATTTTTAAAGCCTTCGAAGAGAGAAATGCTCTGAAGGTGTCAATACTGCCTTTCACAGATTTCTCATTTTAGTGGTAAAACAGAAAACCATAAATAATAACCCACACATTTTCTAGGATGACAAAACCTTCTATCAGATAAGGGATGAGAAGCCTTCAAGTGAACCTCAAAACTCACCAGTTGACAATTATCTGTAAATCTTAATAAATCAAGTTACTTTATAGTTAATATATACACACTTACTGAATTTTAAAACTTAACAATTTCAAGTGGTTGGGTCAAATATAAAACCTATAATTCTATTATTAAAGAATGCTACTATCTAAATAGACTAAAGTTTCAGAAACACAATCTCATGTAAATGTGCCATTTTTAACATAGTAACGAATCATTATTAGAGGTGAAAGAGCATTCCAACAGAATCTGCTACTGCAAAGATGCATTTCCCACTTCCAAAGTCCCCTCTCCCAGCCGCTTCCACAATTCCTAGCTGTGAGCACAGCCTGCCCTTCCGTGCCACCGCGTGCTTCCGTGAGAGAGAAATGCTCAAGACCTCTGAGAAAGTATATGCCAGCACATGTGAATGAACTTTATTCTTTCAAATACCAACTTTCATTATAAAATATTAGTTTTCCACATAAAAACTATATGATTCGGGTATCAACTGCTCCCATTTATCTTGTGTGAATTCCACTTTTTTTTTTTTTTTTTTTTTTTTTTTTTTTTTTTTTTAACAAAGGAAGCAGGGAACAAGCAATGGGAAGTTGGTGTCAAAATGCAGACAAACCTCCCAGCAAGCCTCTTGCAACCACCCAGGATTCAGAGTCTTGTGGGCCTCTCTCTTTTCAATACCAGAATTTCACACATTTCAATGACTATTATGACTTCAAAGAATCAAATTTTCATCATTGTCTGTCATCTGGCGGTTGGCGTGTACAAAGGAGTCTTCTGCATGCACGCCACACAAAAGCCTCCTTACTTTTGTGGCTGTGTATCAGTGTGAGGTTTGTTTGTGACAGTCGTGTCTCTGGTAGATTGGGGTGGCACTGAGGGAGTGCAGCTGCGGGCAGGAGCCTCCTTTTGCACCATTTCCCTTAAATAAGAACGGAATAATTAGCTTCTGCCTTTATTAAACCACAAAAATGCCACTGGCTTTGTAATTACTTCCGGTTGCCCCTCCCACTTAACCTTAATAGTTTACACTTGTCATGAAGAGAAATAAATGAAAAAGGTTTTTGGCAATGGGTAAATTTTTGATAGGTCTCTCAGTGTACTCAAAAGAACCAACATTTTTACCAGGCTTTTTGGGTAATAAGTGCGACTAAATTGCTTGGTTTTATAGACCAACGCTAAAAAGTTTGAACAGAGCACAGACCGGGACACTAAGATACTGCTCACAGAAACCTGCCCTGTTGGAGGGTACTGGCTACCGATCATGTGTTTAAATTTATTTTAGAGCTGAACCGATGTGCATTTTGTGATTGTGTTTATATTCTACTTCGACCATGAAAGAAGTTAGAAGGAAAACCATCTTAGATCTGTACTAAAGTCTTTAAGTACCCACAGATACCTAACCCAAGAAACTCTTTAAAGGGGCTCAAGAACAATAAAGGGCATTTTGTAAAATAAAATTTACAGTTTGAAAAATACATAAAGGTGACAGCATGCCGTGTGTACTCATCATCACAAAAGAACTGCAGTCACTGTACAGAATGCGTGGCCACAGGGTCAGGTACAACCAGACTGTGAAACAGGTGCCAGGAGGGCAGCGCACTGCTGTGAGTCCCACCGGGGAGGAGACGAGAGCTGCAATGTGACCCCTCGGTCCCGCACGCTGTAAGCCACCAGGGAGCCCAGAGTGAGGGTTTAAGACAGAGAAAGATCACACAAATGGCTCGCACATAATGAGCAGGAAATCAGGAAACTGAGAGCTGTGTCTCCATCCCACACCACGGTCACACCCAGAGGACCCTGTGCAGAGGACAGAGGCAGCAAGGGCTAAGCCAAAGGGCCAGGCCAAAACGGGCCAGACCCCCTCACAACAGGGGCAAATGAAGACATCTCCGGATTCAGCATCCATAAAGCCAATTAAATGAAGTATAACAAGGACCCAGTAACGTATGCGAAGTGCTTATCTTGCACAATAAAAAGAATGTGTCTCTTTAATTCAACAGCTGTTTCGGTACCTATATGTATCAGACGCTGGGCACAATGCTCAACGTACAGACATGACCGCTAGTCTCTTAAAAATCACTACTGAACTTTTTAAAAGTAAAGAGTAAGCAAAAAGTGGGTGTCAGGTGCAGAAAATCTTCCTTGAAAAATATGAGTTAGTCATTAAAATACAACAAAGAGTTATGCAATCAGAGTCAGTAAGTTGCTTCAAGTTTAAAGGAGAGAACAACATAGTTTTCCTCCCTAAGGGCTGACTATTCCATTTCTTGTGTATGTCAAAGCACTGAGTTCAATATATGTTACATAAATTTGTTTGACTAAGTATACGAGGTATACCAGTTAATAATGCAGATTTTTTCAATAGATGGGGTTACACATATGTTGATATATATGCGATTTGATATGTATGCTATTTTGTTGTACTGACAGCAAGCTTCAATACTTCATATGTTAAATTTGCTGAAGGTGTTAACATCATATATATTTTTACGCTTAAAAATGTCGAATTTCGCCATTGAAATTTCATCTTGACTATGCCAAATCACCAGCCAGGCTGCGGAGAGTAAAAAGACCAGCCTGATTTCCAGAGGTTCCAATCCGGCGCCCGGCAGAGGGAGGGGAACCACATATCCCATATGAAGTACAGCACTGGATAGGAGCAGGGAGTTATGTCTGACTCAGACAAACCGGAGGAACCCAAGCTCCACCACCTGCCTGTGCTGTACTGAAAAGGGTCAGTGGTTGAGCATCAACCTATGAACCAGGAGG